ATTTAAATAAACCAGTATTGTTGTCATGTGATACTTCAGCATATGGAGTTGGAGCAATACTTTCATGCACATTACCAAATGGATCAGAAGCTCCTATATACTTTGCATCTAGGACACTCCACCCAGTAGAAAGAAATCATTCACAATTCAAGAGAAGTATTAGCTATAATCTTTGGCATCACAAAATTTCATAATTACCAAGCTGACCAAAATTTTACTATATATACGGATTGTAAGTCAGTTGTGGGCCTTCTGAACCCTGCTAAACCAATTCCTGATTTAATCTCACCCAGAATGATTCGTTGGTGTTTGAAACTAGCAGCATACTCATAGGATTGAACATCATTGGTCAGCAGAGATGACTAATGCTGATGAATTCTCATATACCATACTGTGGAAGAAAAGACCATCTCCAAACCAGGAGAGATATTCCTTATATTTGAACAGCCAGAATTGCCCATCACATCTCAGGAAGTAAGCAGAGACAAACAAAGACTCAGTGTTAAAAAAAGAGTTGAACATGCAATCTTACACGAATGGCCACTTAGTAGTCCAGAAGAACTTGCGCCAATAAAAATAAAAACCATTCAACTATCCAGCATAATTCTTTAATAGCGTAAAAACCGTTTTCAAATGCATTAAGCGTTCATCAAGATTATATGCTGAGAAGGAGAGGTATTCTAACAAAATTACTTTACTTTTCCAAAACTATACTTTTCCAAAAGGCACATTAAAGAAACAAAGGAATGGCTCCAAAAAAACAATGTTGTTCTCATAAAGGCTGATAAATCAAAAAGGTGTTGTACTCATCGAACGGAGCTCATAGAGAAAAGCTGCATGAGTACATCGACAGCACCGAATGTCGTCCTGCCCCGAGTAATTACCTAGAAGCCTTACAACAAAGAGTGAGAAAATTTACCCTAACTCCTTTAGCCAATTATCTGGGTATGAAGACTGCTACTTTACAAGCTCCCAGGACACCAAGAATTTTTGCCTTTGGGAAAACCCATAAACATGGTTCGCAGTTACGCCCTGTAGTAGAAAAATGTAATGCTCCAACCTTCAGAATAGAAAAACGACTTGTTAAATTTATAAAAAGAAAGATGCAGGTTTCACCTTTTTCAATAAAAAACTAGGTGGACTTTATCCTAAAACTGGAAAATATTGCCCTCATGAATGAGGAATGGATGACAGTTTTAGATTATAAGGCATTATACCCATCAATCAAACTGCCTCCATGTTTTTGTGCCTTGAGAAATTTTTTATTTGCTAATGTTAATTAATAATGCTACCAAATACCACATGCAGATTTTAGAATTAGTGGACTTAATTTGTCACACATCTTTCTTTGAATTCGAAAATAAAACTTATCTACAGGGGCAGGGAGTACCGATGGGTAGCCCCCATGTCATCAGCCCTCTGCAAGTTGGTACTCCGTAATCTGGAAAACAGTATCCTCCCTTCCTTACAACAAGATATATTGATATATGCAAGATATGTTGATGATGTCTTTATCTTGTGGAAGGATAATCGCTACATCAAGCATTTTATAGATCTGATAAACAGTAACCCGTATGGTTTAACATTGGAATTGGAGCAACAAGATAGTGGTAGCATTAATTTCTTGGATCTGACTATAACATGCATAAAAGGGGAAGTTTGAACCAATATTTATCGTAAACCGACATCTATCCCCATCATTATCCCTAAGAATTTGGCAGATCCAGAGCATATTAAAATGGTGGTATTTCGATCTTGGATAAGAAGAGCACATACGCATTGCACAAACGTTTGCGATACTGTTAAGGAATTACAACATATATGAAGAACCGCCATACAGCATGGCTATGGAAGAAAATGAATAGAGGCTCTCATTAAGAAAGATGATAATCTTGCAAGTAGGCAAAAGCAAAACCACCAAAAAGAAAAACTGGTCCTTGATTATATACCCTTCCTTAAACCAATTGTCAAGAGTGTTTCCAAAAATAAGAACTTACAAATAGTTTATAGACGTAATCCCACTATATACAGGATATTAAGGAATGATAAGGGGGATTATGAATAACTCCTTAACAGGAATATACTCAATACCGCTAAGAGATCATAGGTTCAACTCTAACTTAGTATATATAGGCGCAACTTTGAGGAATTTGAAAAAAGAATCAATGAACATAAGTTTTCAGTGAACAAAACAGTTGACAGTACGGTCCTTGCCACTTATGCTAAACAACAAGGCATTACTGTCTTCTGGGACCAGGCCTCTATAAAAAGCTACCAGATCTAGACACACAGTAAAATATCTTGAAAAGCTGGAAATCCATAGGGCACAGAAGAGCGCTCAGTGTATCAACTGTAGGGATGCTGACGGGCTTTCGTCCGCTTGGAAATCTTTTTGCGACGAATTGGAATAGATCTAAATAAAAGGCTTAATCAGGATTAGGATGATCCTTGATAAGATATTTATTTTTTTATTATTTATTTATTAAACACAGAAATTTGTATGTATCACTTTTGTTTATAACATGCTTTTAATTTTTTTAATTTTTTGCATAACCATTTATTTGAAATTTGCTTGCAATTTTTCGAATTTCCCATTTTCGAATTAGAGAAATAACTGATGATGAATGCTTAATGCGTTTGAAAACGTTTTTATGTTATTAAAAAATTATGCTGGATAGTTGAATGGTTTTTATTTTTATTGAATTAATTCTCCAGTAAGCAAGTATACAATTTAGAACTTGCTCCTTTCACTAGGCAAAAGCTAAAAAACTTTCAATTCACTGCAGCAGCATTTTATGGGAACAGTAGTTATCTCTAGAACATTGCAACCACAGCTATTACACCTGTTACACTCCACACATGAAGGCATGTCTAGAATGAAAAGAACAGCCAGGAGCTATTTTTGGTAGCCTGAAATAGATACCGTCTCTTCAATTTTGAAGTCTATGTGCAGAAAATGCACAAGAACAGAGGTCAAACCCAACCCCAGTTAAAGACACTCATTGGTCCCCCTCGGGACCAAGTACACATTGATCATGCAGGACCACACTATGGATGTACATATTTTATTCTAGTGGGTGCTTATTCGAAGTGAGTGGAGGTAGAGGTACAAACGCAGTCAACCCAGAAAACTGTGAAACTATTGAGAAGAATATTTAGTACACATGGACAACCAAATACAAAAATTGTATCAGACAATCATCAAAGCTTTAAATCCCAAGAAATGGAAGAATTTATACGAAAAAATGGGATACAGCACATTTACCCCTCCATATCATCCCTCTTCCAACAGACAAGTAGAGAGATAAGTCCAAACTATAAAAGAGGAGAATCGAAAAATTACATCACAGCCAAGAAAAAAGTGAGGTGTTTCTCCCCAGACTTGTTTAGCTTACACACAACACTTAGTAACACTACAGGAAAAACGGCAGCAGAACTACTGATGGGAAGAAGACTACATACCATCTATGATTGATTAAATCCACACCTATATAAGGATAGAAAAGAGGAAACAAGAATAGGAGAATTCCAGATAGGAGACAACATCAATTACCGATGCTATAGAGATGCAAAAAAGTGGAAACCGGGTAAGGTGACAAAGCAGACCAGACCATATATACATACATGATAGCTTCACTAGAAGGAACTATAGAAAGGAGACACATTGATCAACTGATAGCTTGAAGAGAACCACCACTCCAGAACAGGCAACATCCAGCTCCCCAGAATAATCAACATCAGGACAAAGGACCACTGGTTAGGAGAAGCTCTAGAACATGGACACTACCTGCACATCTCTGAGACTTCGTTTTAGAGGGGGAAGATCAAGTTACAACAGATCCGAGTGTCAAGTCAAAGGTGGAAATTCCTACATACTTTGAATGTCTGAGAGAGCTCTTATGTAGTCATCACTCCAGTCAGTTGTATCTGAGAGTGAATAAAGTTAATTATTAATTAACTACATGTTATGTGAACAGTGCCAAAAACAAAAATTGATAAAACATTATATAGTGCAAAATGAACTCATCCATAATGTCATCCATTTTTTGAGGATGTTTCAGTCAAAAATTTGAGCTCTGTCTTGCTTTATTAATTTTTTTTATTGTCTGTTTCAGGAACTTTTTCTGGCAAAGAAGGTTTAGCTAACTGAAATCATTGGGTATCCATAGCTCTTGCCATTAGCAAAATTTTGATGCTAACTTTCTAATAACAATCAGCTGAGAATTATGAAACTATCAAAAAAGAACTCAGCAAATTCAAATAACTACTACCTGGCTTTAAGAGTTTAACCAAATAGTGGTTTGGTACAACCACTACCATTTGGTGCAGAAAATATCTGCATATTTGATTCTTAAAGCCTATCCATAAACCATAACCATGCTTTGGCCGATATTAAATGACAAGCCGTTTCAAACCTTCGTAAACAGACATTACTGAATAATTGTCAAAATCGTATATATATGCTATTTATTTTAAACCAGTATGATGTGTAAAAAGAAAGTATTTCAAAATCATTAATTTTAAACTAACAGACAGCAGATATTAAAGGTGTCAAAGATTGAATTAATTATTAGACAAAGTTTAAATAATTTATTTTCAGTTATTTGAAGACCTTTATTTTCACATTTTATTACTTCTAAAAATCTAAGATTATGTGAAATAAAGTCATTATATAAAACCTCGTTTGTATAAAAAACATTAAAATTGTGTTAATAATTTTTCATAATTACTTTAATGAAACGAATTTTTATAAAGTAATTTAAAAATTCATTTTTCATTTCAAAGTTAGTTTTGCAATTAATTTAAACAATAGCATTTAACTCATGGTTTTATATAGAACATATAGAAGCACATATCTGTTCTGTATATCCATTTAGAAATGGTTAGAAAAGAAAAAATAAAATCAATATACATTTCATTAAATTATAAAAAAAAATGAATACTGCTTTAATTAATGTGCTATTTAATTTATAGGTTTTAGATATTTGATATACAGTTACCTTCACATAATATTCCTGAATTGTTCCTATAACGAGTTTGGAATCCATGTTTACATTCACAGAAGTACCAACCAGGCATATTAACACATCGAGCATTAGCATAACAACTATGAAGACCCAAACTGCATTCATCAATATCTACAAATTAAAAGATGTCTTAACATCATTTTACATATGTTAAAACTTAAATAATTATGCTTACCAATTTCGCAACTATTTCCAGTATAGCCTCTTCTGCATCCACACACACCTGGTGCAATGCAACGACCTCCATTTACACATGTTTGATTACATACAGCTATAAAAATTGTTTAAATTTTTAATTAAAGCAAATGCATCTGCATTGATTTAAATACTATCACTTACGATTGCAAACAAATCCATCCCCTATATATCCTTCCTTACATCGACAAAGATAACTGCCATCAGTGTTGATACAGATTGCATTTTTATCACAATTATGTTCATTGGAACTACATTCATCATGTTCTGAAAAAATAAAAGTTATCAATCCCAAAAACTTGGGTGATAAAGTCAAGTAGCAAGTTTATAGATGACATGTTACACTAAAATATATTGCCATCAAAATGGACAAAAACGGTTATTTAACAATAACTGAACTCTACCATTTAAAAATGACTGTTTTGGAAATAAAGCATATTAACTTCAATTATTTGAGATAAATTTTTACCTTTACAAGTAAAAGTATCCCACTTTTTATAACCTGCCAGACATTCACAGACATAAGAACCTGGAATGTTAACACATGTTGTATTCACTCTGCAGTGATGGCCATAATATCCTCCTTCAGTCTTGCATTCATCAACATCTAAAATTTTAAAAATTTTAGGCATGTTACATTTAAAACATTAAAGGAATGTAGAAAAAGTTCTTTAGGACAAACCATCACAGGTAGTTCCATTTCCTTGATATCCACTATTACATTGACAAATATGTTTTGTTGAAAGATTTATACATGTAGCATTAACATGACATTTATGTCCTTGAGAACAAAAGTCCATTCCTAATGGAAAAATTATTCAAAAACCTTAATTCTTTTCAATATATTATATTAAAACAATTTTTCTATAAATTTGGAATAAAGTTGCTAAAACATTAAGATTTGATTACGAACCACGGCAATATGTACAACATTCATCTGCAGCTTTAAACTGCTCACTTTCTGGACAAGTCAATTCTGGACAAGCAGTCTCTCTTCTACATGTTGTAGTACCATCCTAAGTAATTAGGATTTAGAACATTGTAATGAAATCACATTAAACTTAAAAAAAATATCTAGTAAACAGTACTTACTTCACATGTACAAACTGTGCAATCATCCCGAGGAGTGAATGTTTCTCCATCATCATATTCAATTCCTTCTAGTAAGCAATTTTCTAAAAAAAAGTTTAGTTTAATCTTTAAAACAAACTGATATTTTAAAAAAATTAAAATTTTGAATAATTAATAGTTAATATTCNAGTTAGGAGGCGCGATTTCATGAAGCTACTTTTGAATGCTAATCATTCTTGATCCATTTTAATACTCGTTATACTCTAATCCACTTGTAGTGCTGAGCAAAAGGGGAGTTTTCCCACCAGGTTGTTACCATGACAACAGCGATACACAGACGCTCGGGGGTGTTGAAACAGTGTCTTTTCAATGTTAATGTTTCAGTCAAGAAAACCAGAATTTTCACTGATTTTAGTTTTACCTCACTGATCAGCTAGTTATTGTTATGAAGTTAATGTGATTACCTGACCTTTCTAATTAAAAATGATAATTGTTTCCTAGAAAAGAGAGGTTCTAAATCAATAGTTTAGAATCTTGCTTTCACTTCTTCAAAAAGAAGTTTATCTACACACATTTTCCTACCATCATCAAAATTTAAGCTTAAAAGTTCATTTTCAAATTATTGGAGATTACTGGTAAGCAATTTTCTAAAAAAAAGTTTAGTTTAATCTTTAAAACAAACTGATATTTTAAAAAAATTAAAATTTTGAATAATTAATAGTTAATATTCAGAAATCCTAAGATGTGCAAGTTTAATTTTAGAATCATTCAAAATATTTAAAATTGTATTAGAATTAAAAGTTTACATTTAATTACACAAAAAAACAAATTAAATCTGAATACTCACTACGACAAACTGGACAACATGGATCATCTTCCAAAATTACAGGATTCTTACATTGAGAAGGACCACATTTAATAGGACTGCATTTTAAAACTCCTCGCTAAAAATATTTAATAAGAAAATATAGTCTTAAACTAAGCACTTTTGATTTTAAAGAATAATTCTAGAGCAAAGAACTTCCAGATAGTAATTATATACAAAAATATAGTCTCATCTTTCGGAAAATGAAAGAAGCTAAATTATTTTCGCCAATACCAGAAATCATTTAAATTAAATTTTAATATAGGAAAAAATTAAAAACAAAAAAGTCTTCAACTATGCTTTAATAACATAGTATTACAAATTATGAATATGAAAATGAGAAACTATTAAATAAAAGCAGAATTTAAGGATTAAAAAGTGTTTATATATAAAATAGACATCGAAATAATTTCACACACACACACTAAATTATTTATATATATAGTGTGACTTAACACAGTATTAATTTGATAATGACTATTATGAATTTAAATTATCAATTTTGATAATTTCATTAAAAATTCTGATAACCTTCAATGTTTAATTTTAGTATCATGATAAAATTAAAAAATTTTGTATGGTCAATACTTAAATTTTATCATCTTTCTAAAATAGCAACATAAAAGTTTTCAAAATTACATATTTAATGATTATAATTCAATACTAAGAAAAAACATCTTAGATATCCTTTGATTAATATACATTTATTACTCAACTTTGTTAATGGAGAACAAATATGAGTCACATTTAAGAAAATTTAATCTCAAAAGTAAACCTGTTCATTGTAAATTGATTTAAAATAAAAGTTAAGAATACCACTTTAATATATAAACATTTTTTTATAAATTACCATATACATGACCAGATGCGACTTGCTGTCTTAGACACAGGCTAAAAACTTTAAAAAAGGATTTTCACCTGGAATGTCACTTTCTGATAGCTTAAAATGTTAGTGAAAGCATTTACTGTGCATTGGCTTAAACACAATACAATGAAACAATAAAACTAAAATATTTTACTAAAAGGGTAAAATTAATTAAAACATTATTGCATAAGTTAAGAAATTACACCATGCATATTGGAATAATGATGTTTACATTATGAATGATCAAAGCTATTTATCTGATGTAATTGGTAGAAAATGTTATAAATTAATCTAATGATTTTAAGTAGTGTTTAATGCAAGTTGAGATTTTTTTGAAGTGTTTTTATTACTTAAATAAATCTCTCTCTATGAAGATGACTTTATAATTATAAACATAGAAAAACTTTTGCTTTCTTTTAGTTTCTTGCTGGATATTGGCTAAAATGTGCAGAGTTGTTACTTTTGATGTAAAGTTCATGAAGGTTTTACATGTATGGAAGTTTAGTTTTTTATAAAAAAAATTAATTCCAATAATAACAATATTAAATTATTAAGAAATAAAATAGTTTTTGATCCTCTAAATTAAATGGAAAGTGAAAAATATTTACTTCTTAAAGATATCTAAAAAGTAAGTTGTTCAAACTATCTTATTGCTATTAGCAAAGACCTTTGAAAAAACTGATTTGGGATGATACTAATTACATTTGGGAAAATATATATATTACTTACCACACAATTACATATATCACAATTGTGTTTCCATCTAGCTCCATCTCTATGTATAGATCCATTAACAAAACAGTTCTTTTGGCATTCACATTCCTCTACAGCTGAAATACGTTGTTCGGCTTGAGCTAACTAAGTTAATAATAAAGATATGGATCTCTATAGTTCTTTTACTTTAAAGGTTATTTTAAGAATTTCTGGTTGTATGCTGAATTAAAATTTGCTATTTACCCTTTCAATAAGTTCTTTTAAATGATTTTCTAATCCTTTTACTGAAATTTGAAGTTCTCTGAATTGACCACATGTTGGACACTCTAATAAAAGGAGAAAAAAAAATAAATGTATAATTTATGGTAGTAAGTCAAAATTTCTGAAATTATAGTGGAGTAAATGTCACTATTCCTTAACATTACACTCAAGTATCAAACTAAATATATTTGTAGACTTAAAAATAAAATGTCCTTTTTACATTTATTAAAGAAATTTTCTTAAAATTATTTTGAAATAATTTTAAAATCTAAATAGTTCCTATTTCATTTATTCACTTTGACTAACGATAAATAAGTGAAGCAAAATTCACTTATTCATTCAGCTTTTAATTAGTTTAAAAATTGCCAAAATTTCTTACTTCCAAGTACATCTAACTCAGGTGTTAAGAACTTATTTTAATCAGAAGGCCACATCCTCTTTTCAAAAGGAATTAAGGCCACACAATGTACTGCAGGCATATATACTAAGTACTTAGCACACATGTTCCAATATTATTAGTTCTAGTATTTAATTTAACATTTATTGAAAGAGAATGGAAAAAAAGGTTTTCATAACCAAAAGTTTGTGATAAAATACCTAAATTTAACTTATTTTATCAGGCCATACTAAAAGTAACAAAAAAGCTGTGGGTCTTCACTCCTGCCCCAGTTGTTAAAGATAACAGAAGCAATACAGGATGAATTGTTATAATTGAGAATAATTTATTATAAATTAGACTTATTAAAATTTGTATTAACATATCCTTCTAATTTTTTTTTATTTTGTTGAAACTGAATCTTTAATGTGTTTATTTTACAATGAAATGATGATTTAACATCTCAGACTATCAGCACATCCACTTTATTCAGTACTGTATCCTTTATACATTTGTTTGCCAACTTATCCATTTTCTTTTCATCCACCTGGTATGGGTCTTTGAGGATGTGGATAGTCTTTTCAAATTCTTTAATTTCCTTTTTGTTGAAACAGTGTCTTTTCAATGTTAATGTTTCAGTCAAGAAAACCAGAATTTTCACTGATTTTAGTTTTACCTCACTGATCAGCTAGTTATTGTTATGAAGTTAATGTGATTACCTGACCTTTCTAATTAAAAATGATAATTGTTTCCTAGAAAAGAGAGGTTCTAAATCAATAGTTTAGAATCTTGCTTTCACTTCTTCAAAAAGAAGTTTATCTACACACATTTTCCTACCATCATCAAAATTTAAGCTTAAAAGTTCATTTTCAAATTATTGGAGATTACTGTTCTTACATTTTTAGAATTCAAATGTAAGAACAATACCTTGAGTATCTTCACTTATGCTCAAGATATTGTTTTCTAATAAGCAAAAGCAATTTTTATAAAATTGATTTGAATTTAATTTTTTGAATTCAAAAATATAAAGCAATATTAAAAAATAAAAACGTTCTGTTACTAATCAAGGAGACCATCCTTGAGATAAGTAAAAAAACCCAAACAAGGTAGTTCTAAATAAATTTTTAATATATTTTTTTTTACAGAAATTTGATCTTAAATTGTCATCTTAATGGGACAAGTAATACCTGAAGAAATGAGAAATAAAGGATACCATGAAAAAATGTCCACTAATTGTAATCTTGATGCATTCTAAGAATATTTTATTGTGAGAGACTTACTTTTACTTTGTATTGCTCGCCAAACTTTTCTAAAAAAGTTTATGGAAAATTGTTTCTACTTTTACTTTATTTACAAATCAGATATGGACAATTACTATAAACTTATCAGTGTAAAATGATAATATACTCAAAAAAAACATTACAAAATGAATATTTAGATTTGCTAGTTTCAATTATTTGAGAAATTTGGGAATAACTAGATATTGTTTACATTTTTATTCTTTTGAACAAAGATTTATAAAAAACAATTACTTGCCAGTTGCTAAATTAGAACACTGCAATGTGTATCCATGAGGCCTTCCTATTATTCTAACATCTTGTAAAGATCCCTGAAAAGAATATACATTCATTAAGATATTTTTAGAATAAATTATTAAATTTGCAAAAAGGTCAAATTTACTTTTTAAAATGAAAGTTGAGTAATGAAGTTCATTACACACACACTTGAAATAAGTCAAATCTTAAAAGAAAATAATACTAGGTGCATATCCATAATAATTTAAAAAATGAAGGCACTGAACCATTTTATTTACAAAATTGTGCAAATTATTGCATTCAGCTGTTAAATAGTGTGTGAGTGCAAGTGTTATTACATATATATATATACACACACGTACATACACACACAAATAAAATGTATGTATATATATATGACTATATTTATTTAGGTAGATAGATCTTGCATAAAAATGCTGCAGATTACTAATGCCCATCAAGTTCAACCCTGAATAATAATTAGATATAAGTTTTTGATTTAGTATGATGAGTTTGATGAATGAAAGTACTGTAGAATAAAATTTATGTATTAGAAGAATTTATTTTACAAACAATAAACATGAATATTCACTTTAAAGTTTAATCATTCATTTCAATAAAATTAATCTATGAATTTACTCTATTTTTAGCAAAACAAAAATTTAAAAATTTTCTAAATATGCAATATGATTATTTTATGGCCAGTAGCCAAGTAATATACTTTGCAGGTATAATATGGCCAATTGCCAACTTACTAATATTCTCAGAATATAGTTAATAGTTAACATATTATATTACATATTAAAATATGAAGTTCAAATTAAAATTTCATATTTTTAAAGCTGCTTATATAGTGTAAGACTCAATAGTTTTATAGCATATTGCTAATTTTACATAAAACTTAAAAAAGATATTATTTATGCTATTTAAAATTTCATGAAATCAAACAATCAGATAAATTCATTTATACTTTTAAAAATAAAATTTGTTGAGTGATCTATGAAATGCTACAATGTACATATCTAAAAGTAGAGATGATGATAATGATTTATTCTAGGTTGCAAGAAAATATATTCTGTTTATAAAATAAAATTTTTCTAGTGTTGACTGTATTGAAAGAAGAAACTATCAGTGCACAAAAAAAAAAAAGTCATTTATTTGAATGTTGAATAAAATTGTGTAAATACATCTTAAGTACATTTTCAGAAAAATTTCTAAAAAAATTGGTAATACACATGTATTTTGAACTGCATATGCAATTTTTTTTTAAATCTCTTACCTTGAAAAAGAAGTGCTTGGTATTTCTTTGTCCCAGCCATAAAGTGATATTCCTATTGGTAAAACTCCTATCAATGTCATTAATAACTCTTTTATAAATAAGACTGCAGTCCACATAAATGGCAACATTATTTCCACTAACAGTTACTGAAAGTTTATGCCAATTATTATCAGCTAAGTGATAAGGAAATGTTTCCATGTGGCTCAGGTTGTTATGGTAATATTGCAATCTAATTTCATTTTTTCTTCCACTGCTTTGCAATTCTAAAAACCTGGAAAAATTAAAATATTGTCTCTTTCATAAGTAAAATATATGAAAATCTTCATTTAAATGAAAAATTAAGTGTACTTGTTAACTACTACGATTAAATAAATTAGTTAAGCAAAACAATGTTATTCCAAGAAAAACAAAAATATATATATTTTTAAAGCACACGTTAAATTATTTACATGTAAAATTTGTTGAAGATTTATATATTTTTATACGTTGCATTTATTTGAAATGCATTTTTCAAAATTTATATTCAGCNTTCTGTTCCTAAACTTTAACAAAGCGAGCAGTACAATGCTGGCTAACTCGGTATGCATTCCCTCCGCATGTTAGAGGAGTAATGTGTAGTTAATGAGGCGAATGATCCCTTGAACTACGAAAGAGCAGCCGCTTCATCATTAAAAAATGCGGTTCTATTAATTCAGTTTAACATAAGCTTTCTCAATAGTTACTGCTCACCTGGTTGGGGTTTAGAGAATGTTAAAAGCATTTTTATTTTTGTCCCGCTATTCAAAAGTAATGGATCGAGCAACGAAGCGAATTAAAAAAAATTACACGCGACGTGTATTGGAAAAGACTAGCAATGCCAGCTTTACATAGGAATTTACTTTTGAGTATATGCTCCACTGCACGCAGTTGCAACCGAAAATATAATAAAGAAAAGAGTCGAGATTCTACCTGGTTGCATCAATGGCTGTGACAAGTCAACTCCTGACCTATACTGCACCAGCGATAGCAATAACGTCGTATTATTAAAGCGCTTCTGAGGAATTTCTCAGATTAAAGTACAGAGATAGAAGTACAAAGAAAAAAATCCGAGCAATAAATCTTGGTAAAATATATAAAAATCCAATTCATAAAAAGATGATACCGAAGTTAAATGCGATTTATTCGCCATCAATCACAGATATAATAATATATTTGGGCAAATAAAAACATTGAAAGCTATCCGAATTGTGGAAAGAATTTCGAAAGCAATATTGACAATTTAGTCTGTAGTTATAATTTCGAGTTCTTTTCATATTTCTTGTGGCAGATGTGGAGTAGGAACAGCTAAATGCTTTCGTGCAACACGTGACTGAAATCGAAAGTTTGCTATCGTTGGTAGAAATAAATCGCGTGTCAATGGGGCATTAAGTTAAGCTAACTATGAACGATTTAGTCATTATAAAAAAATGATTCCAGTAATCGGAGAACTGATTTGAAAATAAACAATATTCAGAGATCCCAGTTATTATAATTGCAGGTATGACATTAGTAAATCACACGTGTTATAGGGTGATAAGGTAAAAAGAGAAATTACAAGCCTCGAGTGTTAAGATTCAATTTGGGAATTGTTACCCGCCTTTCGAGGAAGCTAAAAACCCAAAACAATTTCTCAGGCAAAGAACGTCTTGAAACTTTTTCGGAAGTAGTGAGCTTGGAAGAGATCAACAAGCGAACGGTCCATAAAAAGGGATCAATTGTACTCGATGGTTGCCACGACAACCGATTGTCCCCTAGGACCACCAGACGTTAAACTAGTTGTCTTTAAATAGGGAAGAACCATCAAAAGTAACTGATCGATCGAAGTGAAGAACAAATTCGCATTTCTGGTAAACAGGTGACGAAAGATCGTACACTGGCGTTCAATTCGCTTTCTCGTGCACCTGTCACTAACTTATAAAAGTTTCTTTAAAAAATAGGAAGATTCAAGAATGCAAAGAATAGGATTAAGTGGCTAGATTTTCAAAACGCCTTATGCCATATCAATTACGCTGGAGTATGAACAGTATCAATATATGTAAAAATAAGAAATAATCCGATGACCGCTTTATTGATCCAATTATGGCAATGGTTGATCGACAAGAGCGCAGAATAGCGAGGATGGGCGCTGTGTTCTTAGTTCTGGACAAAGAATAGACGGCCACGCCCTACAATAAAGGTCACAAATGGTCGGTTTATTATTTTCCACCACCATGTGGAATTCTTTAGTTTATTGTGTTGTGTTCGACATATGTATAGTTGCGAGATGAACAGTTGACAGGAAACAGGTGAAAAGACACCTTATGTTTGAATCAAAGCATGCTGAACTTCATAGTCAGCTATCCAAATAATAAAAACGTGACTTAATTTGTCTCTTATTGAAAGTTTAAAACTATTGAAATGAACGGAATTAAAATGAGGAGACGACGTTATTAAGTCGGGACGGTATTCGATAAAAGTGAAGACCAAGCTGAATTTGATGCAGGAAACGAGCAATAAAGTAAGAATGAAACATCTTATCTGACCTATTTAAATTAATTCTTGCATATATAAATTTCAAAATTGGTAAGATTTAATAAATTCATCCAATACTGATCAGAATTCAGCCTTGAGGAATCGTACCTGAGTTATGAATTATTGCAGTGTTGCGCAACAGTTATTGATGTTGCACACGTGCATTTGAGAAATCGAATCATCCTAAATACACGGAAAAGAATTTATATCTAGGTTAGCTGTTATAAATAGAAATACAACTATAAAATTGGATCAATGATATATCAAAATTGGATTCTAAAACAAACCGAATACCAAGAAATACAGCACGAGAAAATTTCGAAAATTCGAGTATTCCGAACTGCTTATGACTAAAATGGAGGAAACTATATATTTCTATGCGATAAGTTGGCAAGAGTGCTTTCCAGACTAGTGATAGACAAGATCTGGTTTCTTGCCAGATTTCCCCTGTATAAAATTTTTTAATGTTTAATACATGTATCAAATGTAAGAATTAGTTTTTGCTGGAGGAAGAGGAAATGAGGAAAAATTGCAATTTTCGAAAATTGTTTCTGCCCCATATAACTAAATTCCTGTGAAATTAAAAGCTTATTTCTGATTGAAGCAATGCATAGAGCGTAAAAATAGGTAATTTATTCTCTTCTAAAATTTGCTTAAAACTAAAATGAAAATTCACTGGAGCAAATAACTCGTCCGATAAGATTATCCAATATATATTGGTTTAATGGAATTGTTTGGGGAATTCCATTACAATTTTACTAGAAAAAAAATATTGTAACAATATTAAAAAAAATAAAAAAAATGGGTTTACTGAAATTTCTCTATTCCTAGATTGAAAACCTTTCAATACTTGAATTTTTCAGGAGCAAAACTGCTAGAAGAAATGCAGACGAAAATTTAATTTACAAATATTTGAACAAGTTCTACAAATTTCATTAATTTAAACCATTTATAAAAAGAGAATAAACTTTTTATTTAAGATTTAGTTAGTTATCTACTTTTAAAAACATTCTAAAAATTCCTAAATTAAACTTAAAATCAAATAAACAATATATTTTTTCTAAACTAAATCTCATAATAAAAAATGTCATTTTAAGACTAGATTTCTAAAATTCGCTTTTCTATAAATAAGCTAATTCTTTAAATTTTTTCTAATTCTCTGCAAAATTTAGAGATTGGTTCAAAGAAGCACATGATTTACGTTAGATTTTATAGTTAATCAATGGAGATATAGACCTAAAATTCTTAAAATTTAAGACTATTTTGAGTTTTAACAAAAAGTTATTATAGCTTATCTAGTTACATAATTTTATTGGAATCTTGTTTCAGTGTACAAATACAAAAGCCGTTTTATAACTAAATTCAATAAATTCAAATATTGTACCTATATTTATATAATACAGATTCTTTTGTTTTTCTTTAAACTTATTTACACAGAATATGAAGCAATATTTTTCCCCTAATTAAAACGTTAGAATAAAACTGAAATTATGAGAAAGCGAAGACATTTTTGAATATCTACGTAAGTATAAATATTTTGACATAAAATATTTATACTAACGGAACTTTATTTATACTTATATTCTGGAAATTTTACTAAGAAAAAGCCAATTTGGACAGTAAATTTGCTCACTAAGATAGAAAATTCTGATGAAAATACGGAAAAAAGTCAGTCTTTTAATAACGTTTGTTTTATCAAATAACCTAACAGTTTCGAAGTTTGTAAGAATCTTCAAAGTAAGAATTAATTAACTAAAAAGGAGGGAGAAATATTTCTAATTTTACCCATTTTCAAACCACTTCATTATTATTATTATTAACTGCGATAGCTTTAAAGGAATTATCTCGCAAATTGTTCTTGATGAAAGATTTAGAAATTTACTTCAATTTAGCATATTAAATGCTTAAATCCATCGAGTTACTTTAAGATTTGATCTCATTTTACGTCCGAATTTTAAGTTTTTCTATATACGTATATAAAATTTATATTTTTTCTATGAGTTCATGTATACGTACGGAATAATTATATATATATAGAAGAACAGCATATATTTCTTAAATACACTACAGCATTCGGTCTAAAATCAATGGAAATTTTATATTTTCAAGAAACACTTCGCAACCGCTGTATGCACGCAATTATAAAGAACTAATTTTCAATCCTTAAAGTGAATATTAAAATACTGTATGCATCAATAGACAAAAAAAATTTTAAATTCGATCACGTGGCAACTCTCTACCAATCAGCATGAATAAAAGTAATGCTTATTAATTTCCCTTTAATAACCATGATTAGCATCATAAAATTTTTTCCGAAATGAAAATTTAATTAAATTTCTATTTTTCTCGATTTATTATAACAACTAATGAAATAATATCGAATAACTATTTTCTATGAATCGTTACCATAGCAACATCATCGAATTAGGGTTAAGATTTGAGTATAAAAATTTTTGCGATATTTTATCATCTTTCTAAAAAATTATTTAGAAATAAATTCTATTTATGAAGTATTTTCATAAATTTAAAAATCAATATTTTTGAAATATAAAGCTTATATATATATATAATTTTTTTTTAAAATGAAATCATCGATTTAAAAAAATTTCTTAATCTCATAACCGGAGCTTTTGATTTTAAATTATCAAATTAAAATCAATAAAATTCGCACCGTTTTACCTTCTTTTATTAATATTAACGCGAAAACAAGAGAGAAAACTATTAAAAAATCTCTCTGCTCATAAATTGTAAAATTTATAAACCGTAACTGAAAGCAGTCAAGTCCGAATTTTCGATATCTCGTAACGTTGTTTAATGTTTCATTTTTTCCTTCGCATTTGATATATAATGGCTTTTTAGTTAAAAATAAAATCGTTCTTAACATTTTTCGCATAAAATTTTTAGTTTTATTTTTTGAATAGCATACTTGAGAATTCTAATAACGAGATTAACAGATTTTCAGACTATCTTGTGACGTCATTCTTATCTCTGTTCAACATTAATTCGAAATCATAATTAGTTTTGCTACTAAAATCGATCTTGATGACATATTAATGATCTGTGATCGATTTTAGTCATTACTTATCGTTTACTATTAATGCACTCTTAAAACTAAGAAAAGCTTTTCAGATCAAAGAATGCAATTAATAAATTGCAATGATCAATTGGAAATTTTACACAAAAAAATGTTAAATGAATAAAATTTCAATTTGAATATTAACTTTTTACTTGTTTCCTAATCGATTAAAAAACAGATTTCAGCCAAGTTCCTTGAAAGAATCCTGTTACAATTTTTGCCTATCCAAAACATAATGATTTGCATTATTAAATCTTTGATATGCTTTCGAGAAGCTGCTATTAATTTGAAAACATCGGATGCTTTGCTAATAAATAGCTTGCTAACTTTTCTGCATTCTTTGCACGGTGTGTTTATTAAAAAACCACGATAATTTTCATTCATACGCGACCGTATTCGTTGCCTAGTCGTGCATCTTAGCTTGTAGGAGAAGTACGTCGCTTTTCGAGAAAGTTTGAAAAGTTAAAAGGCGTAAAGTGAAGTTAAAAAATGGAGGTGCAGCATAATTGAAGGGCGAAACCCAAGTAGCATAGAAATGCAGACAGGTACGGCGGAACATCCTTTCTTAATCAAAGTTCCTCTGACGCCAGAATGCTGGAGGTTGCTCCGCCCTTTGAAGAGGAAGACGACAAAGGGGGATATGATAAGAGCTGCCATCAACGGACGTGTCTGCACGGCACGGCTCCAGTGTGTCCAGCTGGTCCCGGGATTGGCAAACGCTGTGTTCCGGTACAATTCGATCGTCCTTCTTAAAACCATCCTAGCAATTCATAACCCTCGCATATTATTCGAATCGAAATCCTTCATAATATTCTTTTTTTCCGAATCCAAAAATTGCCGTGACTGCATTGCAGACTCGTGACCCGAAATGTCGCATTCCTCGCGGGTGAAAATGAAAAAAATTGGCGCGAAACAATGCTATCCCTTCTCGTCACCCTGTAACATCTTACGCGAGTGAAAATCTATGGAAATCTACTGTACATCGATAAAATATCAATTCATAAAAGCCGGCATAGGACGGAGCACTCTTCGAAGCGCGCACGTTATCCCCTCGACACTTTAAATAGGGGGATTGGCCCGCAAATTCCGCAATGGGCGTCTCACCTCAACCGCACTTAAAAGAGAAACGGAGTTAAAAGAGGATTTTACTTACCTATCCTGATGACGAGGACGAAGAACGTGGAGTACACTACACTTAAGGCCATGTCGAGTTGTAATATGTACACGTTTTATACAACCCGACTTATTGTGTTCAAATTTTTGTACATTGCGTACAACAAGTAATCACACGTACGCCACCTTAATTCACCTGGCCTCGCCGGCCACTTCGATTCTATCATTCGGGTAAAGTTTTGGTGAGTAGTGCCCACTTTGTCAACACCTTTCCATAGTGCCAGGTAAGTTAGAGACGACACACCACTGAAGAAATCAGAGGAGAACAGAGAAGCAGCCACCCTCTTTGCCTTTAGCCAACTGACTTTTGCTACGAGAGATCGTGCAATCTCAACTGAAGGAAGCGTGCGCTGCGAGTGTATTGGCTGTGGAACAGTCTATTTTGCTCGTCTGGGTAGCACGGGAATCGATACACTACCATGATGTCATATACTAACTACAAATCTCTCCCGATATAAAAATTAGCACCGCTCCTCTCCATCAAATAACGATTGACGCGTGTTTTACTTAATATTAAATTTTACCACGTCAAAAAATACACCATTTTTTAGCGCTTCTCTCTTTCCTTCTCGTTTATTTGTATATTCCCCAATTACATTTTTCGAAATGAGTGACGTCACGCGTTATGGCTTTATAAACATTAGTAATTTTCGCTACCGTGCTCAATAATACACTATATTATTTACTTTAATCCATTTTTAAGAGTTACGGATTAACGTTAACGAGTTTCACTTCCATTTTCCTAACGAAAATTACATATTTTCTTCGTCGGCTGCTACGATGACGTCATGACAATCATAAAATACAAAAATTAATTAATATAATTTGTCTTCTATGAAAAAGTCGCTAGATTTGTATTCTATGAAAATACTAACATTTTTCATTAAATTAAAAATAATTCTCTAATTGTTATCGAATGTTGCTAGATTTTTAAAATCTTTTAATAATAAATTCTTATAATTCAAGCTTAAGAGCGATGACATCAGAGCGAGAGAAAAATTAAACAAAATCTTTATTATACAACAAATATATTTAATTATTTATTGCTTGTAATTTCTACGAATTTTGTGATAACTTTAATGATGTTATTTTTCCGTTTTATCACGGAGAAAGAATTTTTTAGTTTCGAAAATGATGTTGATCTCAGAAGAGATAAGAGATAACAAATTTCTCTAAAGTTTTTAAAATTACAATGCTTAAAATATTAACGCAATTTTTAATTAGTTGTAATGAATTCAAGTCGATACTAATTTAAAATTAATTTAATTTTTTTTTCCTTTTCTTTCGCTTCCGCTTACGGTTCTTCAGTTAGAATCCCACTCTCTGATTGGTTAATTTTAATTAAAATAAAATTTAAAAATTTTTCGTTTGCTATTTGTTTATTACAAAATTTTTCGTTGGGAAATTATTTTAATTTAACTTTATGATGATTTTTTCATTATTTAAAAGTAAAAATTATTTTTCTAACTAATTGAAACATTAAAAATTCGGATTATAATCCACCATTTTAAAAATTTAAATTATTGAGTTTTCGTAAAAGATTAAAAAATTTTATATTTTAGCTTAGTCACTTTATTAATATATTACAGGAAAATGGGAAACATTTAATTTTAATCTAAGTAATGGAGAACTTCCATGTAACTAATTCATTTATCTAACGTAAATAACGTAGGCGAATCTGATGTCATACGGATATCCTATAGATTTGTGATTTTTCCGTTTCATCACATACCAAACCCCGCCTTCTTCGTCAGTTAAAGTTATAATTTGGTATCTATTTCAAAGCAAGCTACAAATTATTAGTATTCATTCAGTTATCCTCATCAATTGCTCGAAGGAGCAACCTAAAATTCTTTACTTGCAATCAGTTATCCTATATTGTCTTATAACTTTAAACATTTCAATGCTTAACACGATTTTCTTTCCATAATCTCCTTAATAAATTGATATATTTTTCGTATATTCCATAAATATTTTAAAATATCAGAATTCGATTAAACTGTTAACTTATTTGTTATATGAGCTAAAATTTCCAATCAAAGCATAAGTTAATTTTTGTTTCTAAATGTTTTGGTCCAGATGAGCTTGGCAAAAAAATGCACTTTTAATTATTAAATAATTTGCTTACAAAACAATGTTGGATAACGTTAAAAGTGTTGAATGATGTTGAAAATAATCTGCTTAAAAATGTTAACCTGCTCAATCATAGTTATAATCAATTATAATTATTTATCTTAACGAACGAATAANGAAAATATTAAATTATTTACGCACACTCATATTTTATAAAACAAGAATTTTATAGAATTCTGTTTTCAATAAAAACGTTCTGTTAGTAATACGAAAATCATAAAAAGGGGAAAGCAGTCACAAAACCTACCTGCTATTACCTTCAGAAAAAGCCAATATCGTGCCAGCATTCCTCTGTTCTTGCCTCAAAGTAGCCATAAGAGTGAATTCGTTGCTTCGCGAGAGTATACTCAATGCTTTCTTACAGGTTTCCGTGGGTAATCTAAGTTCCCTTAGATCTCCTTTAAAAAAAAAAATACACACGCACATCATAAGTCTTAAACATTAGTTTAAATTTGAAAAATTTAATTTATAACTTAGTATTTTTTCTCACTAAGATAAAATATTGAGCGCACATTAAACTGAATTATACCACGAAAAATGTCTAGTAGAATTATTCACGGAAAAATTTACCATCGGCTATTATTATTCTACAGCAATTTACAGCACTCATATTTTCAAAAAGGGACCTATAAAAGTATTATGTATGGTAGATACGGAATAATATATATATAACAGTTACAAGAAAAATCGATTGATACGAGTCTTAAGTTGTTTGGGGAGATGGAAACTTTACTCTGTCGCTTCGATCACTAAAAAGGCGACATTGAGTCGACCTCGTCCCATCACCTAAGGTCAGCCCCTACTAATCATGTCAACCAGCGTAATTTGCCGGGGCAATTACACATCCCTAAACAATTGTACTAACAGATTGGGGACCTGATGATTTATAGGCCCTTTTACTATTGAATCGCCTAATTCCCAAACATCACCTCGGGTCATATTACGCCGGCGAGGTTCCTATGAAAACGGGGCGTATGAATTGTTTTAGATAATACAATATTCCACGCGTCTGGTTTCTGCGAAAGACAATTCACCGTCGCACCATATGCACGAGCGTATAGAAGAGGGGGTTGACTTTACTACATGCTACCAGATGTCCGGGGCAGCGACACAGGTGGCTAATACAAGCAAACCTTTGCAGAATAAACTATTAAGTTGCAAAACAGAAGAAATCTGCCTCTTTTCTATTTTCTCTACTTGCATGTCACGTTTATTTACATTTCCGTTAACACGACGGTTGTACCCTTATTGTTAACGGTTATGTATCAACTAGATTTTTCCCCGTTTTAGAAAAAAAAAATGAGTGAAACCTTTCAGTGTATTTTATATTATGGAGAAATTGTTAAAATATCGGATCAGGTTTATAGAATAATAGAAAAAAAAAATTACATACCTCTTAGCAATACAGCTGGCGAATATCTGTAATTATTATTATTACCATGGTAACCATCGGTTAAGTCAAGGCCTCTGTAAGATGTGTTGTATACATTAAGTGCCTCTATCAGTGCAACTTGATATCCTCTGTCTATTTGAATACCTGTAGCTATAAAATTAGAGGGAGGAAAAGTATACATTAATATATTTTCTTTGTGTAAATATTAAATAATAATTTTAAGTACGCTATAAGTTATATAAAAATCAGCAATTCGATTTGGCAACGAGATACTGAATTATTATTAATTCATTATTTAAAAACATTAAATAAGCAGAATAAAAGAAGGTAATCGATGTTTTAAGGCCTGGTTAATTAAACAAACTTCGTTCAGAATGACTTAAAACGCTTTTTCATAGCCATTTAAAATTTTTTTAGTTACTAAAAGTATTCAAGTAAAAAAATTCTGAATAAAAGTTTGATCAATTTTAATATTAAGTAGTTACAAAAATTCAATAAAATTATAAGTTTTACGGAAAACATTTTTTAAATTTATTTATTGGAATAATCATCATTAGGTAACTTCTCGATAAAGCTATCGGAAACTTCCATTATTTATTCTCTTCGAGAGCATTTGATAGTGTGAAGCGAGACCAGACAGCTAGTTCGGTTTCTGGTCATTAAAGTTCAATAGGTGTAATTTCAGTAATAACTTATCGATAAATCGATCGGACGAACTCAAATTAATACCGTAGAAGCAGAATATTTTGAACCCGGGAGAATTTTTTTTAAGTAGGAAGACGAATCGCTTGTCATTTTTATTGCATGCACATGGCTGACTTCACGGAGAGCGTTTCAGAAAGGATTAAGGCTGCTCTATAATTAATCTATGTACTTTTAAAAGTTCGATTTTTAATTAATAGTAGAAAAATGCGTTCCGCCCGTCCAATTCAGTAGACGTCTAATTTAAAAAAAACCAAACTTTTTTGAAGAATAATCTAGTTTAACTGGATGAGAGGCATTCCTGAAACCACTTTCGCCGCGGGCCAACATTAGTCTGGTCTTATGAGAGCCCTTCGTAATTAAATAAACGTTAGGACTAGAGATAACAATTAATGGATATAGTTGGACTACGGCCAGAAACATGCAAAAATATGGGTTAGTATTATGAAGTGATATCGACCTAACTAGCTAAGTTCTATATCAATATCAATTTTGAAAAACAGACTTACCTGAATGCAAGATCGATATCAAAATAACAGGCCACATGCCGACCTAGACTGGCCAAGTCCTCACAGTCATCGCTCAGCAAGCGAAGTAAAATAGGAACGAGTTCCTGCACGTGCTAGTGCCGAGCAGGTGGCATCAATGGAGCGTGGGCCGAACCATTGCTAGCACCTGTGTGCCTTCAGCTGTTTCCGTCGATCCACCAATGGGCACGCGTCTAACGGGGAACCATACTGGCAGCAGATTTTAACTATTTTCCTTTTTTTATAGCCGACGCGTGCCATTTTCCGATAATGTATGTCCGTATATAAAAACCATCTGCGAGTAAGAAAACTCAGACTGCTCCTAATGGCATGAAAACAAATTAAAGTACTCTGCCGGACACGTTATGTGACGTTGCAGACGGGCGTCAGACGGACTCCAGACGAAAACGGACAGTCTAGCATCCGTATCGCCGTCTTCATTGATTGGTTGACAGAGCAGTTTCCCGAAATTCAAAGTTCGTATAATAACTGGAAGGGCTTAAACCAACAGATGCATAGTTAGCTTATTCGTGCAAATAGGAAAAGCCTAAGTACCTTTATTGCATTCATACATCCTCATGTCACATCTTGAGCAGATGGATGACTATCAATGGCACCTGTATGTCAAACGTACGATAAAACGAGAGAATGAAATTGTTATAGTGAGGGATTGTATGGACCAGAGATAATCGAAGGAGGAACTGACCCCGAGCAGTGAATGGAACAGCTGGACGGATGTCCGGCACGCGCCAGGGTCAACACACTTTGGAGAGTCAAGGGATGGACGACTGCACTATCTGCATTCTGTCCATCTTAAATTATACCTATAAAGTATTCTTATATTTATGTAAATTAATATTTGTTGCAGTTTCGTTAATTGTGATTGTATTTGAAGCAATATTTCCTTCCTATAGAGAACAATTCGCCGATATCCTGGTGCGTCCAGTCCGGATTTAACCACCTGGGACAGCTGGACGTCGACAGTGTGTGAAATATTGACTGTACTTAGATTCATCCTCCAGGATTCGTGCCAATTATTAGCAGAGAAGCGTGGAAAAAGCTATCTTAAATGACGTCGAACAGAAGACTACCTCTACTGTATCCTGTTTACTCCTTAAGTTGACAGGAAATATTTCTAGAAACAATTTTACTTCACATTCATAATTTCATCATAGTGCAATCTGAACGATTAGGTCTTCCTGAAGGACTTTCATTGAGGTGTACGTTAACGTGTGCTGCAACAAACGTACGCTCATCCCTACAGAGTCAATGAATTAAATCAGTCATAGTAAATTCTGAATAGGACTTATCCTAGCGGGTCGAATGTTGAATTTCGTGGAAGCCTAACCCACAGGAAGCAAAACTTCCTCGCTTCCTGATCTCTACATAATTTTTTTTTTTTTTGTTTTTGTCTCTGTATAGACAAGTACAAATTGATAATGAATAGCCATACTAGTGGCGCCGACTGAAAAGATAAAAAGCCTGACGTTACGTTGCAACAAATCCGTAATAGATGGAAAATTCATTTTCTTGTCTTTTAAATATCCATTAACAAGCGCAGTAACAAGGATAGGTTAAGATCGCAATTTGCAATGTACAGTACTAGAAGAACCTACGAGATTATTAATGAAACAGCCTCTTCTAGCGTTAAATTGGAATGTTTAACAATATACGTAAATTATTAACGAAAGCAAAGACAGAATAAGTCACTAGTAATTAATTTTGAACCTATTAGAAGTAAAATTATCTGAAAAACTATATCGATAAGATAACAGATATTTCGGTTTTTCATAAGGAAATCTTGTCATAGTGGTGCAGGAAATAAAGCAATCGATGTTTTAAGGTGTGTCCCCTATAACGGAGTCGGTGAAAGGAAATGATTCACTTGATTGTCCCTTAATCTGATGTAGCTCGATAACTATTCTACCGGCAACGTGAACTTCTTCGGACCAATTTTAGATCTCTTTTGGAGAAGAATCGACGTGACTGTCACTTACAGAAGTTTTCTATAGCATCTTGGAGAATTAATTCGAGCCGGTCCAAGTCGTAACCGGATTTAGCTTAATACATCGCTTTCCTCGATTCGTCTAATTACGTTTATAAATTGCCCGATAAAATGATCGGTACGATCAAGCTTTAACAGTTAGGAGGCGCGATTTCATGAAGCTACTTTTGAATGCTAATCATTCTTGATCCATTTTAATACTCGTTATACTCTAATCCACTTGTAGTGCTGAGCAAAAGGGGAGTTTTCCCACCAGGTTGTTACCATGACAACAGCGATACACAGACGCTCGGGGGCCTGATGCAACGGGTCAATAAAGTCCAGAGCGTCACGTGATCGAGGGTGAATGTCACCAGATGAAGACGTCCGCAGAGATCTAGTCGTCGAGAAAAGAGAAACGTTCTTGTACACCACACCCAGTCTGAAACTGGAGTTCTGTTCCTAAACTTTAACAAAGCGAGCAGTACAATGCTGGCTAACTCGGTATGCATTCCCTCCGCATGTTAGAGGAGTAATGTGTAGTTAATGAGGCGAATGATCCCTTGAACTACGAAAGAGCAGCCGCTTCATCATTAAAAAATGCGGTTCTATTAATTCAGTTTAACATAAGCTTTCTCAATAGTTACTGCTCACCTGGTTGGGGTTTAGAGAATGTTAAAAGCATTTTTATTTTTGTCCCGCTATTCAAAAGTAATGGATCGAGCAACGAAGCGAATTAAAAAAAATTACACGCGACGTGTATTGGAAAAGACTAGCAATGCCAGCTTTACATAGGAATTTACTTTTGAGTATATGCTCCACTGCACGCAGTTGCAACCGAAAATATAATAAAGAAAAGAGTCGAGATTCTACCTGGTTGCATCAATGGCTGTGACAAGTCAACTCCTGACCTATACTGCACCAGCGATAGCAATAACGTCGTATTATTAAAGCGCTTCTGAGGAATTTCTCAGATTAAAGTACAGAGATAGAAGTACAAAGAAAAAAATCCGAGCAATAAATCTTGGTAAAATATATAAAAATCCAATTCATAAAAAGATGATACCGAAGTTAAATGCGATTTATTCGCCATCAATCACAGATATAATAATATATTTGGGCAAATAAAAACATTGAAAGCTATCCGAATTGTGGAAAGAATTTCGAAAGCAATATTGACAATTTAGTCTGTAGTTATAATTTCGAGTTCTTTTCATATTTCTTGTGGCAGATGTGGAGTAGGAACAGCTAAATGCTTTCGTGCAACACGTGACTGAAATCGAAAGTTTGCTATCGTTGGTAGAAATAAATCGCGTGTCAATGGGGCATTAAGTTAAGCTAACTATGAACGATTTAGTCATTATAAAAAAAATGATTCCAGTAATCGGAGAACTGATTTGAAAATAAACAATATTCAGAGATCCCAGTTATTATAATTGCAGGTATGACATTAGTAATATAGGGTGATAAGGTAAAATAGTGTTATAGGGTGATAAGGTAAAAAGAGAAATTACAAGCCTCGAGTGTTAAGATTCAATTTGGGAATTGTTACCCGCCTTTCGAGGAGGCTAAAAACCCAAAACAATTTCTCAGGCAAAGAACGTCTTGAAACTTTTTCGGAAGTAGTGAGCTTGGAAGAGATCAACAAGCGAACGGTCCATAAAAAGGGATCAATTGTACTCGATGGTTGCCACGACAACCGATTGTCCCCTAGGACCACCAGACGTTAAACTAGTTGTCTTTAAATAGGGAAGAACCATCAAAAGTAACTGATCGATCGAAGTGAAGAACAAATTCGCATTTCTGGTAAACAGGTGACGAAAGATCGTACACTGGCGTTCAATTCGCTTTCTCGTGCACCTGTCACTAACTTATAAAAGTTTCTTTAAAAAATAGGAAGATTCAAGAATGCAAAGAATAGGATTAAGTGGCTAGATTTTCAAAACGCCTTATGCCATATCAATTACGCTGGAGTATGAACAGTATCAATATATGTAAAAATAAGAAATAATCCGATGACCGCTTTATTGATCCAATTATGGCAATGGTTGATCGACAAGAGCGCAGAATAGCGAGGATGGGCGCTGTGTTCTTAGTTCTGGACAAAGAATAGACGGCCACGCCCTACAATAAAGGTCACAAATGGTCGGTTTATTATTTTCCACCACCATGTGGAATTCTTTAGTTTATTGTGTTGTGTTCGACATATGTATAGTTGCGAGATGAACAGTTGACAGGAAACAGGTGAAAAGACACCTTATGTTTGAATCAAAGCATGCTGAACTTCATAGTCAGCTATCCAAATAATAAAAACGTGACTTAATTTGTCTCTTATTGAAAGTTTAAAACTATTGAAATGAACGGAATTAAAATGAGGAGACGACGTTATTAAGTCGGGACGGTATTCGATAAAAGTGAAGACCAAGCTGAATTTGATGCAGGAAACGAGCAATAAAGTAAGAATGAAACATCTTATCTGACCTATTTAAATTAATTCTTGCATATATAAATTTCAAAATTGGTAAGATTTAATAAATTCATCCAATACTGATCAGAATTCAGCCTTGAGGAATCGTACCTGAGTTATGAATTATTGCAGTGTTGCGCAACAGTTATTGATGTTGCACACGTGCATTTGAGAAATCGAATCATCCTAAATACACGGAAAAGAATTTATATCTAGGTTAGCTGTTATAAATAGAAATACAACTATAAAATTGGATCAATGATATATCAAAATTGGATTCTAAAACAAACCGAATACCAAGAAATACAGCACGAGAAAATTTCGAAAATTCGAGTATTCCGAACTGCTTATGACTAAAATGGAGGAAACTATATATTTCTATGCGATAAGTTGGCAAGAGTGCTTTCCAGACTAGTGATAGACAAGATCTGGTTTCTTGCCAGATTTCCCCTGTATAAAATTTTTTAATGTTTAATACATGTATCAAATGTAAGAATTAGTTTTTGCTGGAGGAAGAGGAAATGAGGAAAAATTGCAATTTTCGAAAATTGTTTCTGCCCCATATAACTAAATTCCTGTGAAATTAAAAGCTTATTTCTGATTGAAGCAATGCATAGAGCGTAAAAATAGGTAATTTATTCTCTTCTAAAATTTGCTTAAAACTAAAATGAAAATTCACTGGAGCAAATAACTCGTCCGATAAGATTATCCAATATATATTGGTTTAATGGAATTGTTTGGGGAATTCCATTACAATTTTACTAGAAAAAAAATATTGTAACAATATTAAAAAAAATAAAAAAAATGGGTTTACTGAAATTTCTCTATTCCTAGATTGAAAACCTTTCAATACTTGAATTTTTCAGGAGCAAAACTGCTAGAAGAAATGCAGACGAAAATTTAATTTACAAATATTTGAACACGTTCTACAAATTTCATTAATTTAAACCATTTATAAAAAGAGAATAAACTTTTTATTTAAGATTTAGTTAGTTATCTACTTTTAAAAACATTCTAAAAATTCCTAAATTAAACTTAAAATCAAATAAACAATATATTTTTTCTAAACTAAATCTCATAATAAAAAATGTCATTTTAAGACTAGATTTCTAAAATTCGCTTTTCTATAAATAAGCTAATTCTTTAAATTTTTTCTAATTCTCTGCAAAATTTAGAGATTGGTTCAAAGAAGCACATGATTTACGTTAGATTTTATAGTTAATCAATGGAGATATAGACCTAAAATTCTTAAAATTTAAGACTATTTTGAGTTTTAACAAAAAGTTATTATAGCTTATCTAGTTACATAATTTTATTGGAATCTTGTTTCAGTGTACAAATACAAAAGCCGTTTTATAACTAAATTCAATAAATTCAAATATTGTACCTATATTTATATAATACAGATTCTTTTGTTTTTCTTTAAACTTATTTACACAGAATATGAAGCAATATTTTTCCCCTAATTAAAACGTTAGAATAAAACTGAAATTATGAGAAAGCGAAGACATTTTTGAATATCTACGTAAGTATAAATATTTTGACATAAAATATTTATACTAACGGAACTTTATTTATACTTATATTCTGGAAATTTTACTAAGAAAAAGCCAATTTGGACAGTAAATTTGCTCACTAAGATAGAAAATTCTGATGAAAATACGGAAAAAAGTCAGTCTTTTAATAACGTTTGTTTTATCAAATAACCTAACAGTTTCGAAGTTTGTAAGAATCTTCAAAGTAAGAATTAATTAACTAAAAAGGAGGGAGAAATATTTCTAATTTTACCCATTTTCAAACCACTTCATTATTATTATTATTAACTGCGATAGCTTTAAAGGAATTATCTCGCAAATTGTTCTTGATGAAAGATTTAGAAATTTACTTCAATTTAGCATATTAAATGCTTAAATCCATCGAGTTACTTTAAGATTTGATCTCATTTTACGTCCGAATTTTAAGTTTTTCTATATACGTATATAAAATTTATATTTTTTCTATGAGTTCATGTATACGTACGGAATAATTATATATATATAGAAGAACAGCATATATTTCTTAAATACACTACAGCATTCGGTCTAAAATCAATGGAAATTTTATATTTTCAAGAAACACTTCGCAACCGCTGTATGCACGCAATTATAAAGAACTAATTTTCAATCCTTAAAGTGAATATTAAAATACTGTATGCATCAATAGACAAAAAAAAATTTTAAATTCGATCACGTGGCAACTCTCTACCAATCAGCATGAATAAAAGTAATGCTTATTAATTTCCCTTTAATAACCATGATTAGCATCATAAAATTTTTTCCGAAATGAAAATTTAATTAAATTTCTATTTTTCTCGATTTATTATAACAACTAATGAAATAATATCGAATAACTATTTTCTATGAATCGTTACCATAGCAACATCATCGAATTAGGGTTAAGATTTGAGTATAAAAATTTTTGCGATATTTTATCTTTCTAAAAAATTATTTAGAAATAAATTCTATTTATGAAGTATTTTCATAAATTTAAAAATCAATATTTTTGAAATATAAAGCTTATATATATATAATTTTTTTTTAAAATGAAATCATCGATTTAAAAAAATTTCTTAATCTCATAACCGGAGCTTTTGATTTTAAATTATCAAATTAAAATCAATAAAATTCGCACCGTTTTACCTTCTTTTATTAATATTAACGCGAAAACAAGAGAGAAAACTATTAAAAAATCTCTCTGCTCATAAATTGTAAAATTTATAAACCGTAACTGAAAGCAGTCAAGTCCGAATTTTCGATATCTCGTAACGTTGTTTAATGTTTCATTTTTTCCTTCGCATTTGATATATAATGGCTTTTTAGTTAAAAATAAAATCGTTCTTAACATTTTTCGCATAAAATTTTTAGTTTTATTTTTTGAATAGCATACTTGAGAATTCTAATAACGAGATTAACAGATTTTCAGACTATCTTGTGACGTCATTCTTATCTCTGTTCAACATTAATTCGAAATCATAATTAGTTTTGCTACTAAAATCGATCTTGATGACATATTAATGATCTGTGATCGATTTTAGTCATTACTTATCGTTTACTATTAATGCACTCTTAAAACTAAGAAAAGCTTTTCAGATCAAAGGATGCAATTAATAAATTGCAATGATCAATTGGAAATTTTACACAAAAAAATGTTAAATGAATAAAATTTCAATTTGAATATTAACTTTTTACTTGTTTCCTAATCGATTAAAAAACAGATTTCAGCCAAGTTCCTTGAAAGAATCCTGTTACAATTTTTGCCTATCCAAAACATAATGATTTGCATTATTAAATCTTTGATATGCTTTCGAGAAGCTGCTATTAATTTGAAAACATCGGATGCTTTGCTAATAAATAGCTTGCTAACTTTTCTGCATTCTTTGCACGGTGTGTTTATTAAAAAACCACGATAATTTTCATTCATACGCGACCGTATTCGTTGCCTAGTCGTGCATCTTAGCTTGTAGGAGAAGTACGTCGCTTTTCGAGAAAGTTTGAAAAGTTAAAAGGCGTAAAGTGAAGTTAAAAAATGGAGGTGCAGCATAATTGAAGGGCGAAACCCAAGTAGCATAGAAATGCAGACAGGTACGGCGGAACATCCTTTCTTAATCAAAGTTCCTCTGACGCCAGAATGCTGGAGGTTGCTCCGCCCTTTGAAGAGGAAGACGACAAAGGGGGATATGATAAGAGCTGCCATCAACGGACGTGTCTGCACGGCACGGCTCCAGTGTGTCCAGCTGGTCCCGGGATTGGCAAACGCTGTGTTCCGGTACAATTCGATCGTCCTTCTTAAAACCATCCTAGCAATTCATAACCCTCGCATATTATTCGAATCGAAATCCTTCATAATATTCTTTTTTTCCGAATCCAAAAATTGCCGTGACTGCATTGCAGACTCGTGACCCGAAATGTCGCATTCCTCGCGGGTGAAAATGAAAAAAATTGGCGCGAAACAATGCTATCCCTTCTCGTCACCCTGTAACATCTTACGCGAGTGAAAATCTATGGAAATCTACTGTACATCGATAAAATATCAATTCATAAAAGCCGGCATAGGACGGAGCACTCTTCGAAGCGCGCACGTTATCCCCTCGACACTTTAAATAGGGGGATTGGCCCGCAAATTCCGCAATGGGCGTCTCACCTCAACCGCACTTAAAAGAGAAACGGAGTTAAAAGAGGATTTTACTTACCTATCCTGATGACGAGGACGAAGAACGTGGAGTACACTACACTTAAGGCCATGTCGAGTTGTAATATGTACACGTTTTATACAACCCGACTTATTGTGTTCAAATTTTTGTACATTGCGTACAACAAGTAATCACACGTACGCCACCTTAATTCACCTGGCCTCGCCGGCCACTTCGATTCTATCATTCGGGTAAAGTTTTGGTGAGTAGTGCCCACTTTGTCAACACCTTTCCATAGTGCCAGGTAAGTTAGAGACGACACACCACTGAAGAAATCAGAGGAGAACAGAGAAGCAGCCACCCTCTTTGCCTTTAGCCAACTGACTTTTGCTACGAGAGATCGTGCAATCTCAACTGAAGGAAGCGTGCGCTGCGAGTGTATTGGCTGTGGAACAGTCTATTTTGCTCGTCTGGGTAGCACGGGAATCGATACACTACCATGATGTCATATACTAACTACAAATCTCTCCCGATATAAAAATTAGCACCGCTCCTCTCCATCAAATAACGATTGACGCGTGTTTTACTTAATATTAAATTTTACCACGTCAAAAAATACACCATTTTTTAGCGCTTCTCTCTTTCCTTCTCGTTTATTTGTATATTCCCCAATTACATTTTTCGAAATGAGTGACGTCACGCGTTATGGCTTTATAAACATTAGTAATTTTCGCTACCGTGCTCAATAATACACTATATTATTTACTTTAATCCATTTTTAAGAGTTACGGATTAACGTTAACGAGTTTCACTTCCATTTTCCTAACGAAAATTACATATTTTCTTCGTCGGCTGCTACGATGACGTCATGACAATCATAAAATACAAAAATTAATTAATATAATTTGTCTTCTATGAAAAAGTCGCTAGATTTGTATTCTATGAAAATACTAACATTTTTCATTAAATTAAAAATAATTCTTTAATTGTTATCGAATGTTGCTAGATTTTTAAAATCTTTTAATAATAAATTCTTATAATTCAAGCTTAAGAGCGATGACATCAGAGCGAGAGAAAAATTAAACAAAATCTTTATTATACAACAAATATATTTAATTATTTATTGCTTGTAATTTCTACGAATTTTGTGATAACTTTAATGATGTTATTTTTCCGTTTTATCACGGAGAAAGAATTTTTTAGTTTCGAAAATGATGTTGATCTCAGAAGAGATAAGAGATAACAAATTTCTCTAAAGTTTTTAAAATTACAATGCTTAAAATATTAACGCAATTTTTAATTAGTTGTAATGAATTCAAGTCGATACTAATTTAAAATTAATTTAATTTTTTTTTCCTTTTCTTTCGCTTCCGCTTACGGTTCTTCAGTTAGAATCCCACTCTCTGATTGGTTAATTTTAATTAAAATAAAATTTAAAAATTTTTCGTTTGCTATTTGTTTATTACAAAATTTTTCGTTGGGAAATTATTTTAATTTAACTTTATGATGATTTTTTCATTATTTAAAAGTAAAAATTATTTTTCTAACTAATTGAAACATTAAAAATTCGGATTATAATCCACCATTTTAAAAATTTAAATTATTGAGTTTTCGTAAAAGATTAAAAAATTTTATATTTTAGCTTAGTCACTTTATTAATATATTACAGGAAAATGGGAAACATTTAATTTTAATCTAAGTAATGGAGAACTTCCATGTAACTAATTCATTTATCTAACGTAAATAACGTAGGCGAATCTGATGTCATACGGATATCCTATAGATTTGTGATTTTTCCGTTTCATCACATACCAAACCCCGCCTTCTTCGTCAGTTAAAGTTATAATTTGGTATCTATTTCAAAGCAAGCTACAAATTATTAGTATTCATTCAGTTATCCTCATCAATTGCTCGAAGGAGCAACCTAAAATTCTTTACTTGCAATCAGTTATCCTATATTGTCTTATAACTTTAAACATTTCAATGCTTAACACGATTTTCTTTCCATAATCTCCTTAATAAATTGATATATTTTTCGTATATTCCATAAATATTTTAAAATATCAGAATTCGATTAAACTGTTAACTTATTTGTTATATGAGCTAAAATTTCCAATCAAAGCATAAGTTAATTTTTGTTTCTAAATGTTTTGGTCCAGATGAGCTTGGCAAAAAAATGCACTTTTAATTATTAAATAATTTGCTTACAAAACAATGTTGGATAACGTTAAAAGTGTTGAATGATGTTGAAAATAATCTGCTTAAAAATGTTAACCTGCTCAATCATAGTTATAATCAATTATAATTATTTATCTTAACGAACGAATAATTAAATATTACCTCATATTATTGTATATTTTTAAAGATAATATTGTAAAAATATTAATTAACACATGCCTTGGAAATAACTTTTAAAAAAATATTCTAAATAGTAAAAATGGGTCAACTATTTTAGATGATATCTATATACCAGACAATTTTATCGAATTTCCTATTTTTTATATATGATGACAGATATATAACTATATAAATTTTTTAAAAATAAACTAAACATAAATTTTCATAAATTTATTATTACATTAATTAAAAAAATAACTATTTTTAAATTTTGAATTGTCACTTTTGCTATAACCTAAAGATCAAGATCTATAGTGTCATAAAACACATACGGTTATGTAATTTGAATAATCCCAAGGTAATTCTCTAAAAGTTATGCTAATGTTTATCTAATTATAATTTAATAGATAATTTTAAAATATTGAATTTGAATTGTTCATTAAGATAAACAATTTGTAATTAATTTGAAATGAAAAAGTTTAATTAATTTACTTTAATATAATATAATTAAACGCATTATTTATTTATTTATTTAAACTTAATTTCGTTATGATTTTTCTGAGTTAACATTTTGAGGCAGATGTATTTCAATGTATTTAACTTTCTATTTGTATACAAAAAATCATTTGTTTAACGTGTATAAACATGTTCGGCTGCGCGATTTTAAATTTCCACCAAATTCATAAATTTCTCATGAATATTTTATCACATTCCAAGTGCATTTAAATGTTCAAATTAAAAAAAAAAAAAAAAGCGTATCCACTATTCTAGATGCTTTATTATGTAGAATATAAACTAGAATCGACATCAAAGAGTTTATCTTTTATCTATAATTCTTAAGCAAAGAGAGACATTACAGCAGTTAAGAGCATATGTAGCCTATAGGTTATTGCCTTTTATGTGTAAATCGATTTTTTAATCATAGATAATGTATTGTCCCTTCGGTCCGTTTGCAATAAAAGTTATTCGAGACTTTCCGACAAAACAATCGAATAATGGCCGCGTGTCCTTGTCTGGTGTTGATTTTTGTATCGTGAAATTTACACTCGAATCTATTATATATTCGTATAATTAATTCATGCTTACATTTTTATTTTTAAATTTGTAATTCTAAAAATAAAATATTTTATTATTAAAAGTAAAATTTAAATTTCCATTTGCTTTCGAAGACAATTTAAAAGTTGTATAAAATGAATTATTTATTAATAATTTATATTGAGAAGTATAACTAATATTTTTAGGCGGAAAATATTTCGTTTATTCGTATAAATATAGCACGATTTTTTATTAAAAAAAACAATCCGTTTTTTCGAATCTCATTTTCCGGTTTTCTTTCTTTTTTTTTAACGAATAGAAAATGATGAATATTTGAATAATTAATTGAAATAAAAAATCAAAAAGAATGTCTAATTAAGTTATTTTAAGTTAGTTAATATTTGTTACTTTGTATTTGTTAATAGTACATAGAGATTTATTTAATTTGTTTTTAAAATTAGCATACTTCAATAAATTCCCAGAATAAGTAAAATCACGTGATAAATTTAACTATAAAAATTAAATATTTATGAATACACAAAAATTTTCTTTTTATTATAAATTATAAATTAAAATATATACAAATAATTGTAATGCCATTAAAGCAACGAATTCATTTTATTTTTCAAAATTATGTGAAATTTTCACGAAAGGCTGCATCACTACAATGACGTTATTTTTTTTTTCTTATTGAAATCGGCCTGAATTATTAATAGCTTGCACAGTAACCAATTTGGCTCGAAAACGAACTAGAAGAAAAATAAGAAAAATTCGAGATGTCACGTGATTTGCGTTTCGTGACGTGGTGAATATTTCTATCCAATACCACGTGACGCAAAAGACTTGTTGCCAGTCACGTGATTCTGTATAAGCATTGGCTTATCACGTGATTAATAGAAGCGCTTGGAAGTGGGATGAGCAAATGCTTTTCATCACGTGATTTTGTCTTAATTCGTATCACGTAGACTTTAATTTTCGAATTTTACGCTGCTCACGCATCTAAAGGGTTCAGACGGTCACGTGAACAAAGACTCGTAGGACAAGTGTCGCGCGTTTCCTCCTCCGAAGAAGAAGGTCAGTGACATCAAATATTGATTGATCTTTGCAGCCAATGGCGTTATTGGGGATTTTGATCACGTGAGATTAGGAACGTCTTTCACAATGAATATTCGTGGCGATCTTTAAATCACGGACGTCGCATTAAGTTTCTAAACGCTTAAAAGTCAAGCGAAAAGTTAGCCCGTCACGTGATATGCACGGGGAAAACAAATTAATTCCGTCGTGTGACAGCCTGCGCCTGTAAAGGAGACTTTTCCCTCCGATGCCGAGATGCGCCGTGATGCACCCCAACCACGTGACTGGATCATCTCGGCATTCACGTGACAAAAATGATAATAGTTAATCACGTGACAGCATTTCTTTCGTTCCCTGGAGAGAGAGGTGACTTTAGGTGCTCGCCCTATCCGTCCGCCCGTAACTCGGAACATGGGAACATTCTGAGAACCGCTTGTTTGACACGTACGACCCTCATTACGACATAACAGAGGGGAGTGATTAACGTTATTAATCGAACAAAACGCGACAGAAAGGCAAAAATTCTAGTGTCAGGTCACCTGACCATTCAATCACGGGACAGATGTGATAGAGACACATACACAATAAAAAAAAACGATCAAAACAATGAATGAACGCCGAACTGTCATGTGTCATGCACACATACAAATAACATACGGCCTGCACATGGGAAAATAGTCAATCGCCGATTTAATCCGTCAGCTGTCCTATAGGCGCGCTTGGTCACGTGACCGCGTGGCATTCCTAACTGGACCGACGATTTCTCTTTTACACACGTAGAGACGAGAAAAATTCGTAGGTTTATATAATAAGCGTTAATATCGTGTAGCAAAACACCATTTGTTCTATCAACGATAGCACCCTATTCGTAACGGGGATCTACCATTTGACTTTTATTGCTGTTGTAGCATTAAATGGAATTAGTCTGAAAATGAGAAAATGTACCCTGCCACGTGATGTAGGTAACGCTTCAGTTGACGCAATAATCCTTTAATATCTGACCAAGTACGTTACGCGCCGTAATGTTGCTTTCCTGCGTG